CTATCATTCCTTGACTGTGTGATGTAAGGTTCCTTTTCAGCATCACTCATTGAATTCCATTTGGACCTCACATCTTTTGTCACCTAATATTAAACATAAACGTTTCTTAATCAATACATTAACACTAAATACTACTCAATGTCAATTTCATTTTACATACCGAACCGCTCTGTGTGCCATCTTCCTTCATCCTTTTGCATTCGGCCATACTGTCAACATTTAAAATTTGTAATCAATTTAAAGTTTATCGATACTTTAATCCAATTACCATTTCAACAATAATAACAAAAAGACATTGATACTTACTAGAAGTACATATATCCACCCTTTGGTTGCTTTCGAGTCTCGGCCTCAATTTCAAAGTCATCTGCGCCACCAACAATTTTCCAACCCATTGACTCCATTTTTCCTTCATATATCAGTTTACGCAAATCAAATTATTTTGTTACATACACTTTATTCAATATACAAATATAGATAACTACTCTTGTGGTAAAACGATTTTCTTCAAAAGAATTTGAATGGCCACACCAAAATGTGTCGGCACATTTATACAACCTATAATATCATTTTCTACCTATAATATTTAATAAAAGTATCGACATTTATATTTTACCTTCAATATCACTTTCTACCTGCAATCGGTCCCAAATGCTTTTTTACTCCAAAACCCCAAACAACACATAAAAACCCTATTTGCGATTACTGTAATAATAAAAAACTAGGGTTTCGACAACATACTTTTCGATTCGACTGCATCAACAACAAACAAACTTCGCTTTAGAAACGCCTTCTGAAATGCAACAATAATTACGCTTCGATTTCAAAAACTCGTCCGTTCTATCGATTTTCAGAGGATATTTAGATATGGCCTTTATATTTTCATCGGTTATGTTATTTATATTTAATCGATACAAATACAAAAGTGTCGATACTTTTATGTCAGGTGTCGATACTTTCGAAAGGATAATTACATATTTCTTTGAAAGTGTCGATAATTTATTACACGTACTTACGAAAGTATCGACACTTTCAATATATTCAGTATCATTTTACCGGTTTTATCATTTTGATACCGGTTTTATCATATTTTTACCTGTTATATCGTTGTGGATCGATATATTTTTTTAAAGTATCGACACATTATAGGCGCTAAAACTGCTTCTCTTTTAAATTCACAAAGTGTCGATCCTTATATAAAGTATCGACACTTTCAATATATCCGGTAACGTTTTACTGGTTTTATCATTTTGTTACCGGTTTTATCATATTTTTACCTGGTATATCGTTTTGGATCGATACATTTTTTAAAAGTATCGACACTTTATAGGATTTAAAACTGCTTCTCTTTTAAATTCACGAAGTATCGATCCTTATATTAAAGTACCGACACTTTAAATGTATACGGTAGCGCTTTACCGATTTTATCATTTCAATACCGGTTTTGTCATAGTTTTACCTATTATATCGTTTTGGATCGACACATTTTTAATTTGGATTGACACGAACCGACAAGTTAAGTTTGCCGGTTGCACAATTGTTTAATATTTCTTCATGACTTAGACCTACTACATTATTATTAGTCAACATTTCCGGTAACGCTAAACCGAATTTATTAAATATCTTTTAATGTATCCAGTAACGCTATATATTAACTGTATATTAACCCGCCTTTTCTGAAACAATCCATAAAATTTCAGGAGTGAAAAAGGTAAAGAATTCAAATCTTTGTTTCTTGAAAATTGTGTACTATACATTTGCTGTACGGTATAGATGTTGTAGAGGCGGTAGAATGCAGGGTAATAGTGATGTAGAGGAGATAAGAACAAAGTAAAGAGAGAGAGAAAAGAGTGGACTTAAAGTTTTAAAATTTTTATCCACTCTATAGTTTTAAGAATTTCGAGAGAGGAGAGAGAGACAGGAGCCTTGAATTGATGATCTCTTTTAAGATTTAGGGTTTCTACTGTTGTTTTCTCTACAAATTTTGGGTAATTTTATCTGAAATCTCTTTACTTTCGGGTTCTTTGACTCGAGTTCTTCCGATTTTGTTGGTTTTCAAGGTAATATTCGTATCCTTTATTAACACGTCTAATGCTTTTTTATGATATTCTGGTCTTATACCAAACGAAAACAATAGGCCTAAAAGAACCGAACCAACTCTTTATCGCATGACTAATCGGCAGAACTTAACGGTTCTTATGCACCGATCGTTTTAGAAGAAACTCCTGTAAGAAATTAATTATCTAAAGAGGTTCAAAAAATGATCCCAACGCAACTTCTTGTATTGGGCAAAGGTGCTGCTATAGTTTTTTGGAGGATTTCCGACTCAATCTTGCTGCTGCTGTTGCCATTGGTGCATTTCGCTCTTTAACTGAAAGGAAACGGATATAGACAATTCGCTAATCCCCACTCTTTTCTTGTTTTCTTTTCTTTTCTTTTCTTTTCTTTTCTGATGTTTTGCGAGTCTGAACATTTTCAATTTTTCTCTCTGGGTTTTGTAGAAAAAATTTGCCTTTGCCTTGTGGGATTATTAAGGGGAAAGGATTTTACTTATGCAAGCTGTGCAATGGAAATGCTACAATAATGTGGTCACCTTTGTATGATCCTATTCATATTAACTCTTGTGTGTGCCCTACTTGTGATGGTAACAGGGTAGTCTTCTTTCTCTATTCATTTATCATTCAATATTTTCTTATTGGAGAGGCTTTTCTCTTGGTTTTGATGGTTTCTCTGGGATTATCACAGGGTGCAGCGCTGCTTAAACTGTCTTGGAAAATGTTATAGTTGACAACTACTTGACTTGTAAGAGTTTTAATTGTGAATTTGTGACTACTTTTTGCTTCTGTATTCCTTTTTTAATTGAATTTGTGGATATTTTATGCTTCTGTATCCCATTTTGTAAGTGAAATTTGACTCCTTTTTCAATGAATTGTTAAATAATTACCTTAGTGAAGCTGTTTCAATCTGTTGCATTTGAGAATTATAATTGAGGATGTTGATGGTGTAATAATCATGGTGAGAGTATTGCTGATGAAACTTTTAAGATGGGGTAGATTATTTTGCATATGTTCAAGCTATGTTTTCTTGACATTTAATAAAACTACAAAAGCTGCGTAATGTTTGCAGTGTTATGGATTTTTTTGTATGACTAAAAGAGAAAACTCTAGGATTGTTGGCACACGGGTTCTTCCTTTTTTTTTTGGTGGAGCACTGTAGAGTGTTGTTATGGATATGGTTGTGTCGGAGCTCGTTTTCTGGTTTTTCTGTTAGACATTGGATCCTTCTATAGTCATTTTATTTCTTTCCGTGATCTACAACAAAACAGGTATATAGCGGCGTTTGTCGCGGCGTTTTCAAAGCAAACTCCACTAAATTTGTACATATAGCGACGTTTATATCCAAAATGCCACTAAATGGTAACATTAACGGCGTTTTTCAACAAATGCCACTAAAACTCATACTATGGTGGCGTTTATTCGACAAACGCCACCATAGAATCGTTCTTTAGTGGTGTTTTTAAACAAACGCCGCAATAGGGTACATATATTGTGGTGTTTTTAGATAAGCGCCGCTAAAACCTAGTAATTTAGCGGCGTTTTATGCAAAAATGCCGCTAAAACTCGTACTTTAGTGGCGTTTATTCGACAAACGCCACTAAAGATAAGTACTATAGTGGCGTTTGTAAACAAACGCCGCCATAAAAACGTTCTTTAGTGGTGTTTTTAAACAAACGCCGCAATAGAATACATATATCGTGGTGTTTTTAGATAAACGTCGCTAAAACGTATTACTTTAGTGGCGTTTTTAGACAAACACAGCTAAAACCTAGTACTTTATTGGTGTTTACCCTTTAACCCTTTCTCATTTTCCCCCTTAACCTATTTTTTCATTCCCGTCGTTTACCCAAACCCATATGATGCTTCTTCGCCGATCTCACTTTCTCTTCGTTGAATTTGCTGTTTCTTCGCCGATCTCACTTTAAGCAACGCGAAAAAAATGGTTTATCTGTGGGAAAAAACGCCAATAAAGCGATTGAAAATTTGCAATAAACGCAATCAGACAGATACCCAAAATCATTCGAGTGTTTCCTCGACTAAAACCGCTCAAGGAAGAAACTAAACACAAAGCCAGAAGATCCCACTTTTCTCTTTCAATTTACTTCTTACTTCCCAAAATTTGGCAACCATAGGAGGACTGAGGGCTCGTTCATCGTTTAAACCTGAAATCTTCGATATTAACAACAATGACGAAGTGTGTAGGCCTTGGCGTCGCAGGTTGTCAATGGCTTTCACCTGGGGCTCCTCTCTCAGAATTACTCTTCTTCTCCTCCTTGCTGCTATCGTTTTCGCTTGTTTCACCCTCCCCCGTTGAAAAGGTTTGGGTTTTCTAGCTTTTTACGCGTTTTCTTGATATGGGTATATTTCTTTTCTCTTGTCTATTCTTTATTTTGCCTTTTTCTTTTGGTTTTCTGATCTGGGTACTTCTTGTTTTCTCCTTTTGGATTGATAATTTGATTTATTTGTTGATTCTCTGGGTTTTTTTAATCCGGGTAAGTTTGTTCCTTTTTTTACAAGATTTTCTGGGTTTTTCTTGTTTCTTCGTTTTTCTTGTTGATTTTTGGGTGTTTGTATTGATTAAGATTTGAATGTCGAGGTTACCTATGTGGTGCATTTTGGGGGCTGTTTGTATACATTACTTCATATTCATGATTTTTAGTGCATGATGTTATAAGTGCAAATTTGTGATTTTGTTAGTACGTTTTGAGGATTAATTTACATCCAAGGCTCTACTGTTGAACCTAATGTAAAACAAGCTAATTGTATACCATTTCTGAAACTAAAACAAATGGCAAAGTTGGGGTAAATATTTATGAGGAATACAAGATTAAGTAGGGTCATGAATCCTTAAGGATTTCGGTTCTCCCTAGCTTTCCAAAATATTATATGTTAGTGCAGTTACCCAGTTGGTTTTTCCCTCTATGTTGATGAAAACAAGTTTTCTTTGCAGATTCTGAAGGATTTTCTGTTATGGGTTGACAAGGACCTTGGACCTTGGGGTCCATTTGTGTTGTAAGTCACATTGAAATTCTCCTGTAATTTCTTTACGCTTCCATTAGCATCTATTTTTTTTGTTTACTTTATGCATTACATTTGATTTGCTATTGTACCAATCTAATAAACGAAATATATATTGTTCATTGCTGTCAAGACATTTTTCAACTGATTAGTTGTGAATAAAAGTATCATATCGTTTTTCCTTTCAACTCATATTTCTTTGTTGACTTGTAGGTTGTTGCTTACTTTCCTTTGACAGTCTTGGCGGTTCCAGATTCAGTGCTTACTGTAAGCATTAAACTCCTTTACTAATGCTTCATTGTAGCCAAATCATTGCCATTTTTGAGTATGAATTCCTTTCTTGTTCATGCTATTTTAACTTATCATTGGTGCCCTGCCCGTGCAACTTACTATATATATGTGCATCATTAAAGTGGGCGGGGAATCCTAACATAGTTAATGATCACACTTAAAGCTTTTGGATTGAAAGCCACTGTTCAGGTATTTTATAGTGTTCTGGTTCATTAAAATAAAGAAATATGCATTTAAACATAAGAGAATGTGTATACATTCTGTCCATCTCTCTTATTTATAAATATATGTGCATCAATAACAAAATGGTTCAGCGAGATCTAGATGGAAATCGATGCTTCAAGTGATGAGCATTGACTTTTTATTTTCTTCCTAATCTTTCATAATCATAATTAATTATAGTTAATTTTGGTAAGTAGCTTGTATTTCATAATATTCATTTGATATTATATTAAAACAAGAAAATTGTAAGATTTCTTTTATCTTCCTTGTGGAAAATTCACCATTAACAAAGGTAACAAACTTTTGTATCTGTTGTTTATCTTAATTAGGAACAAGTACGACCCTTTTCTATGTTTATAACAGTTCCATGAATTATGCTCTCCTTTATTTTAAACATTGCTTTCAAAGTGCTCATATTTGTCTACTTGAATGGTTTATTTAATGTCACTAGGTTTTCTGTGACCGATAATTTTAGGATTTCGACTAACTATGTTAATTATACAATTTGATTTAACTAACTTTTCTCAAACTTCCTGTTCTAGGACATGGCGAGGTTGATAGGCCATGAATTGGTTAAGCTTGAGGAGTACAACAGTGGGCTACCTCCAAATGTAACGCATTTCTTCTTTCCCCTTTTCTGTATGACGAGAACTTTGAGTTTTATCACTAGTTCACTGCAAGTGCTGGTTGTAAATGGTCTGTTTGTGTGGTATAGACTACAAATTGTTCTTTCCCATCTTAGGTGTTATTATTGTTTATTTTAGTTAACAATGTTGAACTACATTATATTTTACGTAATTGAAACTTTGATTTATTATTATGGATTTCAAGTTTCTTGTTATGGATTTCAAGTTTCTTGTTATGGATTTCAAGTTTCTTATTATGGATTTAAAGTTTGTGTCTTGATTAAAATTTATGGTTGTTAATTAAATAAAGATAAATGATATTAAATTTAGGTGTTGTAGAGCATAAATTAAATATGCAAAATAAATTAATATTAACTAATGAAAGGTAATTAGCGGCGTTTGTATTGAAAAAACTTCGCTATATGTCTGTCTTTTTGTGGCGTTTGTTTGAAAAATGTTGCTATAGATCTGACTTTTAGTGGCGTTTGTTCCAAAAATGTCGTTTTAGATCTCGATCTTTTGAGGCGTTTGTTCAAAAAATGCCATTATAGACGTCAACCTTTTGCGGCGTTTGTTCTAAAAATGCCGCTATAGATCTGACCTTTAGCGATGTTTTTTGAACAAACGCGTTAAAGATCCCGACCTTTTACGGCGTTTGTTCTAAAAACGCCGCTATAGATCTTGACCTTTTGTGGCATTTTTTGTTCTCAAACGCCGCTAACTTTAGTAACGCTGGTATGGCTGACGCTTCTTACGGTGTTTTTTCTATCGCCGCGATTACTTTTAGCAGTGCTTAAAAACGCTGCTATAGGATAAAAAAAGTCGCTAAAGCTCTGTTTTGCTATAGTGGTGGTTGATTAATATTCAGCATTTTGAAAAACCCTAAATTTCAAATCCAAATTCATTCAGTAGAATTTTCTGAAATTTTTTAAATGAAGAACCTTAAATATGTTTACTTTTCTTGATCAATGAGTTTGAAGAGGTTTTTGGTGTTTGTATGACCTAATATTTTGACTGGAGGTCGATCTTGGGATGAATAATATTCTTGTAAAATTTAAGACCCAAATTCTTTGATTAGAGTATTCTGAAAAGTTGTCAAACGAAGAGATCTAAATCTGTTATTCAAAATATGAAAAATGCTTTTGATTGGGCTGGTAGTGTTTGATTGACATGGTTTTTTTATTGAAGATCTTTTTAGGGACGATGATTGTACCTGTAAAATTTCATATCCATATTCATTCGTTTGTATTTTTTAGAATTGTTTTTTGATATTCTAGATTTTTTTTTTCTCTTTTTTCCTTTCGCTTTTCTTTTTTTTTCTTTTCGTTTTGATAAATAATAGCAAACTAAAAAGAAATAATCGAATAAAAATTAAAAATATTAAAAAAGAACCTGAATTTGATCAATCGTTGTAAACTAGCTCTATTGGGTTACCTTGGCGGTTTATGTGAGCAATAACAAGCAAAATTGCTTGATTCTCTCCAAGAATCAATCAAAACCTGATACCAAGTGATAGGAGATTGCAGTGGAGTGATAAATGTTTCGCGAAGTTGAAGAATCAAGCCCATAGATCTTAGATTTATTTAAAGAGCGAGATGGAAGATGTTTAGTGTTTATCATAATTTAAGGTTTTGAATTGGGGAAAGTTTCTGGAAAAATTAAGACAAAAACAAAAGATTAAGATGAAGACAATAAAGATAAACAAAAGGCAAAGATGATAAAGATAGGATGATAAAGATATTATAATGTTATGTAATATATCAAACATAATCTAAAATTATAAAATATATTTACAATATTATATATTTAAGGATGCATTTTGAGGGTAAAATATTGATGAGGGTTTAAATGAGTCAAAACATTGGTGGAAAGAAAGAATTTACAACTAATTGTAGTCAAAACACTAAATAGAGTAAAATATAAAATTAAAAGACTAATGTAACACCCTAAACTCCGGGCTAGTAGTTTCGGGTTCACTGAGAGGTGCGTAGACTACGTGAAGTTTGTAATTAAAGTCGTTGGAACAAGTTTGGGCTTAATTTGGTTGGTATTGTACCCAATTAGCTAGAAAAAGAGGATTTTTAAATAGTAGAAAGATGAGGGAGGACTAAATATGTGATTTCACCTTTTTGTAAAGATGAGGAGGCTTTTATATTCCTTCATGTTCTCATCTTCATTCATTCCTTCTCATTTTCTTCTCTCATTTTCATCTCCAAGTGCCATAGCTAAGGGTAAGTTCCTTAAGCCTTTTCATGATACTTTTAAGCTTTATTTCATTACCAACCCTCTATCAACTTTGTTTTGATGATTCAAAGCTTGGTAATTCATGTTTGAATATATAAAGGGGGAATAATCAACCAATCTTAAAGGAAGTAATTGTGGTTAAGCAAGGAGCTTGGTTTCGGGTTTCTAACAGCAAAATAGTGTATTTATAATCTTTTGTGGTACTAAGGTTTCATAAGGATGAAGATTTGTTAAAATTTGAGTATATAAACATTTTAGGGTTTATTCTTAATTCATGCAATAGAGAACATTTTTAATGTAAAGCATGTGTTTTTATGGTACTTTATTACTCTAAGTAGTGCCCCTAAGCGTTAGAACATTATTAGGAAACAAACTAAGACCTTTGGGTTATTTGGGTGTTTCTTGAGCTTAAACAAGGCAGTTATGGGTTTGACTATCGATGTTGGATGAATAGTATTGATACTGGATGAATTGAGATGATTTTTTGGTATTTTATAAGGGGAGTATCGATACTCTAATGAGTAGTATCGATATTGAGGGTAACAATATCAACATTGGAAGGAATGTTTGTAAAATAGGGGATATTTTTGGTACTGATACTCAAAGGGTATCGAATACTTGATATAGGAGTATCGATACTACTTGTAGGGTATATATACTACTCATTTCAGACGGTTTGATTTGACTTTTTTAAGGCATGTATTAGTTAAGGACGACACGTAACGGTATAACTTAGTCCATGAGGGACATGAATGACAAAAGGTGCCTAAAAACACACTTAGAAGTGGGTTACGACCGAAGTAGCATATCGGTGACTAAGAATGAAGGATTGTTCCAGATGGTATACCGATAAGCGATACATTAAGCGAATCAGATTATGAAAAAGAGGAATAATGTACTATGAGAAAACTAGTGAACTGAGGACGTACAAGTCATCCCTCTAATATAAGGGGAATTGAGGGGAACAGTGATAAAAACGATTAAATTTTCCTTACTCAGTATTGAACCCGAGTCAGATATTAGGCTAATAAGTAACTTAGCCTGTAACACCTCTTTCCCGTATATGTCCCGAACACGAGTCAGAGATGTCACATGTTCTTAAAACAATTTTCGGATTCAAAAAAATTAAAAATTTTGTTTCTTTAAATAATACGATTAATAATATTATATATATAAACCATCATTGAACTATTAAGATATAAAATATTGTTTATTTCTATCAGATAGTGTTTTAAGTTCATATATAAATATAATACCACAAAACATAGTTCAACTATTCCTACCAGAGCATCATAACTTAACTAAGTACATGCCAACTAGTAATATCAAAAGAACATCTAGAGATGTCATACTGTTACTGATACCAGAGCATCATAACATAACTAAGTACATACCAACTAGTAATATCAAAAGGACATCTAGAGATGTCATACTGTTACTGATGAGGCAACCCTTGACATATGATATCAGCTGCACTCCTCACTTCGATTGTACTCTATCACCTACCCGTGAAACATTATACGATAAGTATTCACTTAGTGAGGCATAATAAATTAAGGCATTAAGAAAAACAAAAGTATATTATAAAAGATCAAAACACGATTTAAATCCTATAAATATACACCCCCATAAAATTGACTTATTAAGCCAAACATTTAGTCTCATAACCTGCGAAATATTACTTCATATGCATAACATATTTATCAATCAAACTATTTAAAGACTATTTGTAGCCCAATGTATGACAGATGAGAATGCAAGGTATGTAAAATGCTTCTAAGTGCCAAACGGAAGTATAAGTATCATAGTACACAACAACACTATACTAATACATCGAAATGGTGATTCACAACTTCAAATATTCATGAACACCATCATTGCACACTTAGTGCCAAGAGTACTCAAATGTACTAATACAAAAATATGCTAATGCATTAAACATAATCGATCGATGACCATATTACTTAATGTTTACCAAGTCCACTTGTGGCTCTCAATGTACATACAACAAGCTTTTATATCCAAATTGAAGATTGACCATTTATTCATAAATATCAATAGATGCTAAAATATTATAAAAACACATCCATTTATTTTAGGGCAACTTATACCCTAAAATCCTTTATAAAATCATTTTCATAAAACTTTATGAAAATATATCATAACGCGTTAAAAACATGCTTATTAAAACACTCGAGGTTGACTCATCGCAAGTCTTCATCATATCATATAAGTACATAGCAAAATGCACTCACCTGGTATGCATCACTATTCTGCCTTATCCGATTACTCTTCAACTTTTTCCTTGCCTTTCGATTTGCTTGTATCACAAGTTTGAACACGATCTACACAAGCATAAATACATAGAGCATACAAATATAAAATACATGCTATTATTCTTACTAACATTTTATACACAATAATAATACTAAAAATACTACTATTTACGAATTCTTTTAGAATTCATCTTAACTTTTCTTTTTTACTCATAATGGTCCTTTGCCATTATTTATTCAATTCAAGTCTCAAACTGGAACATCCTAATCATGTATGACCTAAAGACCAACAAACTATAATGTCACATGGACCATAGAAGTGGTTGACCAAAATTGTATAATTTTAAAACAACATAAATAATTGTGTGTGTATGCGCGTGCGTGTGTATATATTTTACGATACAGAGTCACATAACTTCATAACAATTGTTTAAAAGTCAGGAGCCCCCAAAATACTTGAATTTATAGTTTATAAAATATTATAACATTACTTTTTGA